CTCATCCCATACCTAATTATCTCCAATTCCTCAAGGATGCTTTGTCACACCTTTGTTCCTTCATTCATAAGCTTATTAGCCTAGAGCAATCCTTACCCGCTTGTTCACCTGGACCACACATGTCCTTTACAAAATCTCTTAAGAAACTTTCTTTCCCACCACCACTCTGCCCCTGTTACCCTTCACCATGCAGCCATGAAATTTGAGCACCTGTGGCCCATCACAGCACTTGTCACTGTATCCTAATTGCTGACATTTCCCTTCTCAGCCAGCCTGAGAGGTACTTGTGATAAGGTACCAAGGATCCTTGGCACCTAGAATGGTGCTGGCAACTATAATCTGTGGTCAATTCCCATTGTCCCCCCCCCCAAGAAAAAAAAAGCAGAAAGAAAATAAATTTTATCAAAATGCCAAATCTACTCGTAAAGGAAATGACACTGTGAGGTTAGTGAGCAAACAGAACCGCAGTTGCTCATCCTAGATATTAGAAGTTATTCCTAGACTCAGGTTGCTCTTCAGAGTTCATTTTTGATGGAGAATAAGTCATATAAGCTGTTAACCATATTTTAGAAAAAATACCATCTTCAAAAAGTTAGAGCCAGCTGGATTTCTGTTTCAAAGACGCATCAGGCAGCCTTAGAAATGCTCTCTCTCTCTCTTCAATGTTGCAGTAGTTTTATCACTGTCATTTTTTCCAGGTTGGGTAACTCCTAATATATTGCTGAGCTCATTTTCTGTTGTTTCTTTACCTTTTAAAACTAGTTATATGCATATTAGCTTTAATAAAGTTCTATTAATTCATTTCAGTTCACTTTGTCCTCTTCTATTGCGTATACCCCATTGACAATGTTTTCAGAGCCAGGTAAGGTTCTTCTTAAGGAAGGAGAAGGCAGTTGAAATTTATTTTCATATACTCAATGAAAAACCTGAATACCAGTTGATTTGCATTCTGGGATTCATAATCTAGAGGTTTCCCTGTGCCTTGAACCACACAAAAAGTCCATCTCTGGACAGATCTTTGGTGGGACCCAAATATGAATCATATTAGAGTATCTAACTGTCCTGCTTTGCTAGAGGTCAGGAAATTTAACCTAGTAGAAACTAAATGGACTCTTGAGTCATATAAATATCTGCAGAATGCCACATGTATTGTAAGGGTGATGCAAAGGGCATCTGAGTCACACAAAGCTTGATTTATCCTCCCCTGCAGCTTGCCACTTGGGCAGTGTCGTATATATTTAATGTAAGGTACATACTAAGTGCCTTAAAATGTTGGTTATTGCTAATGTTCTAGGCTATTTTATAAAATGGCTACAATATTAAATAATTTTTCATTAGCATCTCACATTATTCAAAGGCTTAAATTTAAGAAGCAGTCAATAGCCCATTGGGCTTCAACACCAACATTGATACTGTAGATTTGGGATTTTTTTTGTAACTTATTTCATTTTGTTTTGATTTTTATTCAGGAGCGACTGCTGGCTTACCCTGTGCCAGACACTCGTATTGTTATGAGGTTGAATCACACATGAATCTAGAATACAATTGTTGATATTCAACAGAGTTCCTTGCATGTTGAGTCCTTTGTAAAGCTCTCTAGTGACTTCTTTTGGCTGAATCAATTACTTTTGAAAACTTTATTGATTTAGGAAAAACCTGAGTGGGGGAGATGACTTTATTAAATGACTCATAAATCCAAGAAGCAGCTTCCAAACTATTTTGTCCATGATATATAGGAAGAGAGTGCTTATAAAGTCAACAGGAAACAAGAAGGATTTATTCCAAAAAGTATAACCTTGCCTACTTAGGCTACGAGAGATTACCTCAAGATTCTGCTTGTACATTCAAAGCTGTGGAGGCAGATTCTGTAAGCAGGATGTCTATTTTAAAGAGCACACATTTTGGAAAGTTCTTCATAATTTAAGGGTCAAGATAGATTATTAAATAAAGAAAATCTAGATATACAAATATTAAAATGCGAAGAGAGATTGCTGGGATTGCAGGTAGATTTTTTTTTTATTTATAATTCCTTCTAACTTTAATGATAAAAGTCACATAGAAAAGAAATCAAATGCAGTTCAAAATTTATCAGAATGAAGTTCACAGATCTTTATATCAGTTCCTATCACCTGATATCAAGTCATCTTAGCTACTGATATAACTGTGAAATGAGAATTGGATTATATTTAAAGGATCTGGGCTGAAGTGCCCCTAGAAATTGCAGTGTTTGCAGCAATACTCATATATACCTGGGAGAACAAGATAGATGTCTATGACATTTTTTTTTCCTATTCATATGGATAAGAGCATCTTCCATAGAATATTTTCAAAGGTACTTTAGCCTGGATCACTGAGACACACATGCATCCTTTAATACTTCAGTTAAAACAGTGGTTAGAAACTGTGTTGCTTATTCATTAAAAAAATAATAAAAGAAGTGTCTGCTTGTTATTGCAAGGAAGTGGCACAGAAGTCTCTTACTAAAGTTCAATGTTGAATGTTGGGATAAGTCTCTAACTGACTTATCCCAAAGGATTAAGAAGAACTGGACAAATAGAATTGCACAAAAACAAACATGCAAGCAAACATATTTATAAAAATGAAGATACATCGTATGAAGCAGAAACTTTAAAAAAATGAGTAAGCTTGTCTTGCCTTCCAAAGTTAAAATGTTAGAATTCAGAAAGCAAACAATAGAAAGACTTGCTGAATAATTCTTACCACCAAAAAACAAAGCATACCAAATGTCAGCTCGTAGAATCACACAGAACTCAACTTTCTAAACCAGGAAAGATTATGGAAATAATATAATAAAAAGTGTGTTAAAGTCTCTTTCCCAAAATGAAGCCAAGCAATCTTAAAGGCAATCTTGAAGTTCTGTTGGCTAGAAGTCATTCAACATTGAACTTTCTGTTAGACTTCAGTTAAACAAAAACTCCAAGTGAAGAAAGAAAACCCAGAGTCAACTACCTTGAGAGACTGGAATAATTCCACACCTACTGATGGCTGAGCCTCACCCTTTGTTGAGTAAAAGTTTGTGTTGATTGTGGGAAGAGGATCTGCTGAGTATTCGAGGGAAGTGTATGCTTGTTCATTTTTGTATAGTTATTCCTTTGAGGCATGAGTCCTTCATGATAGTGGAAGTAGAGTGTAGGTTTATTATAGGTTTTAGGTATATTTTTGAAATTGTGTTTGGTGCATTTAATGCAACTGCTAATTGCAAAATCCACCTCACCTGTGTAAGTGAAAAATGTGTACAGACTGTTACCCTGTTGGCCCTATGAAACTCTGCACTTGATATTTAGTATATACTCTACATTCATTAGTTGCTTCTCATAAGATGTTCTGCCTTAGCACTCAGTTGCATTCTTTTTCTTTTCTTTCCTGTTCATTATGCTTTAATTCTGAGGACCATATGAAGGTAGAATATGCTATTTTTTTTTAATTACAAAAATTTGTATAGGCAAGCCATTTTCTTAAAGTTGATGAACAAATGTTAGATTGTTATTTTTCGTATCATTTATAATCTTGTCACAATCCAGTTAATGAAGTTTGGTTAGATTTCAGTGAAAATTATCTTCAGAGTAGTTACCCCCACCCCCCACCTTGGGAAGGGTATAACTTTACTACAATGAGCAAGTATGGTGCAGATTTCATGCAAATGAGGTGTGCCAGAGTGTACTAATTTAAATGTATTTAAGCAAACAACAACAAAAAAGAATGCACAAAGTCGCTGTCACTTAGATCACTGGAGCTTCTAGGACCAGTTTCTTTTACTGATTTAAAAACAGAAAAAACCTATAATATTCAAACGAAGAACTCCTCACTCAAAGTTTTATGATTAGTCCCTACCTCTACCTGCCGCTCTAAACACTGCTTATCGTGAATGGCAAATTATGTTTTGTGAATTACTGATCTTAGTTATTAATCCTAATTTACCCAGAAATCCCATAGATAAATAGACCCCACTAACAGGTGGTTTAAGCAGTGACATGTAATAATATTTCTAGTCTTCTCTTTAAAGACTTTTCAGGGTGGGACACAAAAGGAAACTCTCTGAATGGTTAAATACAGATTTAGTTGAATGAAGGGTGATTTCTACAATTATAACAACATCATCCCAACAGAGATAGGGTCAAGTGAAATTGTATACTGGAATTGTTACATATTATATAACTTCGCCATTCATTTGTTAGAGTAGTAATAGAGTTTGGCTCTATGTCCCCACCCAAATCTCATGTTGAATTGTAATTCCCAGTGTTGGGGGAGGCACCTGGTGGGAGGCGATTGGATCCCAGGGACGGATTTCCCCATGCTGTTCTCATGCTAGTGAGTCAGTTCTCATGAGATCTGCAGGTTTAAAAGTGTGTGGCACTTCTCCCCACCCCCACAACTTCTCTCCTTTCCAGCCCTCTCTCCTGCTCTGCCATGGTAAGATGAGCTTGCTTCCCCTTCACCTTCCACCATGATTGTAATTTTCCTGAGGCCTCCCAGTTATACTTTTTGTTAAGCCTATGGCACTGTGAGTCAATCTTTATCAATTACCCAGTCACAGGTAGTTCTTTATAGCAGTGTGAGAATGGACTAATACAAGTAAGCAGAGTAGAAACTAGATTGTGAGACTTCATGTAGGTATCCTGTCAGTCAGTATTTATAATACCAGTAACTTTAATTATAATGAGAGGTGTGATTTTTCTCCACATCTTTTATTTTTGAAATTTTATTAGCAGAATTTTTATTGGTGCAACCTTTCCCAGGTATTTTTAAGCCAAGTAGTATTCCATTTTTTCCCCACAAATATGATAATTTGATCACTATAAAATCTAGCCCTTATTGAAAAATGTTAATATATATTATCAATGTTGCTAAGTATCTAGCTGTGTGATTTTCATTTTAAGGATAGATTCTTAATTGTTGTCAAATAAATATTTATTGAGCATCTGTTATTTGCCAGCTAGTGGGAATTCTGATCTCAAGGCATTTCAAATCTAGTAGGGGGAACAAATAAGAGACAATTAAACAGTATGATAAAGGTGAACTTGAAGCATAAAGATAATATTCTATAATAAACTTAGCAATTTATTGGCTCACTTTTCCGAAATGTGTAAGATTACACTAGCCTCAGGACCAGCTATATCTAGGGCCTCAAACAATATTATCAGGACCAAGATTACCAGCTCTTGACTTTGCTTTCTTTGTAATGGTGTTATTCTTAGGCAGCAGATTGGTTCCAACAGCTTCGAGCTTACTCTCACCAAAACAGAAACCCCAACTCATTAGTTCCTGCAGAAGTCTCAGGGCTGGCTCTAATGAACCCTTCTTGGCTCATGTGACCACTTCTGGTACACACACTGTGGTTCCTGGGCTACACCATTGTCACTGACTGTCTGGTAATATGAACTGAGTTCGGGATGGATAAGTCTACAAGGAAAAACCAGAGTGCTACTAGCAGAAGAAACAATAGACGTTTTACCATACATGATCACTAATTATATGAAACATGAATTCCCATAAACATTAGATTCATTTACTTTTTTGTTTGTATGAATTTCTACTTTATACTAAGTGTGTCTATTCTATATGTGAATATTGTCTGTAAGGAGAGGTCTATACCAGGTTTCCCAAGAGAGAGACACAGAATCACTTACTGAAACTGATGTCCACCAAAGAGTTAAACAAGATTCCAGTGTACCACTGAAGAGCCCAAGGCATGAACAGACAAGGCTGGAAAAAGGAGACTGAAATGAAAAATAAGATTGAATAAAGAAAAGCAATGTAAAAAGTAAAGCAGCATGATACAATCAGTAAACTATATTCCCAAATCCTTCAATTCATTGATATTTAGGAGCTGTCTGTATGGATGTAGAGATTTGTCCCACGAGTTCAGAAAAATAATATAGATCAAATGAGCTACAGTGACTTCTAAGTAATTTAAAACTTATTAACTATAAGAAATATTTTAATTCTTTAATTTTTATCTCAGAAAACTGAATAAAAGCAAGAAACAAACAAATTAAAAACCTTAAAATGATCCTTTCTATTTGTAGAAAGATATTTGTTTGATTTTCCAAAATGTTAATTTAATGCTTTAACATAGCAGATCAGTTACAAAAGCAGGAAATAATTTATCAATAAATAATAACTGTGTTTTTCCACAAGACCAAGATGCTCTGATGACTTCTCAGCAAATGAGTTTACTTTATAAAATCTCTATTTACATAACCCAAAGATCATCACTAGTCATTTCTACCATAATTATTCCATAAATAAACTTAAAAAAATAAGTACATTCAGAAAATACTATACTGGAAATTCAGGCCTAGAATAGTCATGTATGAAAAAATTAAGCCTAAGTACTTATCATTTTTTATATATTCACAAATCTTTCCAATTTAGGGACTGCCTAATGATTCTAGTAAAAATAGTAAAAATTATAGCAAAAATTAGTTTCTTCCTGTACTTTAGAGCACTTTATGTGTCTGTTAAAGCATTTATCATGTTCCATTTTTATAAAATATATTATGCCCACATTTTGTGGTAAAGGATTTATCGTAGGTATCATCTTCCTGTTTACATGTCTGCCTTTGCATCTAGACTGTGAGATCCTTAAGGACAGGAAGTAAATTATTATTATTATTATTATCATTATTATCTTTACACACTGTATTTAGCACTTACAAAAGTACTAAATAAATGCTGAGTAAAATAACCAATAGATGAATTAATAGACTCTTCCATTTAAATGACTTCTTGAACTCCTCTATCTTCTTTGTTAGTTTCACATTTTAAGTGTCTCAAAGGTCAGTTCTCCTTAAATAAACCAGCTCTTGTTGCTGTACCTGCTTACAAAATGAGATTATGATTTATGCAGAGTTGGGAATGACAACCTACGCCTGGGTCAGATTCACTGCTTAAGTGCAGACATGACTGGCAAAGTCTGGTTAACTCGCAGGACAGACCCACAAGTTGTTTTTGTATTGAGTGAAGAAGAGAATCTTGGTGAAAATACTCTAATGATAATTATTGCTGACATTATAGACATATATAGTGTGTGTTTGGTAAATTCTTGGTCTGCTGCAAAGATTTTCAGGGAGGAAGGGGACTGGAAGAGAATTAATTCTAAGGGAAAATAGTCAAGTGTGACAGGTCAGTGATTGCACCAATGGCACATACTTTCTTTCTTTGGAAGGAAAGGGGGCTCTCTGCACTAGTGGCTGCCACTTGGATTGTCTTCTCTGCCAGCCCATTAGACCAGCAAGGCAGGAAGATAAGTCAAAGCTGAAAACTCCCTTAATAAACTTTCTAACACTTGGGAGGCATAGACTAGAGTGCTTTGGGATCCCTCAAATAGAGTATAACACAAAGTAAGCTCAGCCATTTTCCCTCTGCTCTTTCCTCACCAGCACTTCATCAACTGCCTAGTCTCAAAGGAAGAAATTTAATCTACCATCTTCATGTTTTTACAGAGGAGGAAACTTCTTCCCCTCAGGGCTGTGGCCTTGAAAGAAAGCTTCTAGCTTCTCTGCCAGCCCCATCCCTGCTTCCCCACAAAGGAGAAGGGTAGCTCCTTGGACTGGTGACAGCCTCCTGTTAGGAAGAATGTCCCTGTGTTAAAAAGTGACTGCTCCTGTACAAGTCTCTTGCTAGCAGTGGTGCTCACGTTCTGCAGCCCTCTGCTTCCATGGGATAAAGCACAGTAAGAGAGAGTCAACCTTTTACTCTTTCCTCTTTATACTCTGGCTAGCCAGTAATGGGGTCAAATGGGACAGGACTGTGATGTTCCCTGCACCTGGCTTGATGGCGAGTTTGCTCTCAAGATCTATTTCTTTCTTACCCTCCCAGTCCACCCAGGCTCCAGATGACTCCAGGGCCTGAATGTGAGTGGGGATGCAATGACACACTTTGGCTTTGGATCCAAATTGCATTGTCCAATCCAAGTTACTGTGGTTCTCAGGGCCTCTTGGGCACTTGCCCAGATTGCTAATAAATCTGGTTTACTAATAAACCCACAAGTGATCATAAACTAGCTTTCAGTTCCTAGAGTCTGTACCTTATCCATTGTAACCAGGTGGGAGTCAGGGTGGATCATAATCTCATTTCCTATACAACCCAGATACTGCTTGTACACTGTCGAGGCCCAGGAAATCAGTGTGCCTAACAGGGTGAGGCAGAGGAGTGTCGTGCACCCTGGAAAAGCCAGCACGGTGGTGTGATATAGTATTAGTGAAGCACACCGGCCAGAGCTGGGCCTTGTGGAGCAGCAGGAGAGGCTGTGGTGCCTTGCTGAGCATTGTCAGAGGAGCCGCAATGCCCAGCAGGCATCTACTCATGATTACATATGAGAGCACGAGATAGTGTCTCGGGACTCCCAGAAATGTTTAACACTGGGGAAGCTTCACATGGCTATTGAGAAACTGCCTCATGTAGGTGAAGCCAGTGAAAATTAGATTATTTAGTGATTTCATTCATATGCTTAAGCTTATGGCCCTTGGGAAAATTATAGTTACCCTCATTTTACTTTCAATCTGAGCATGTGTTCTTCAGCAGCTTGTCCAAAATGGATGATTATATTAGGGATATCAACTGATTAATCCACTTGAAATGCCGACATTTTGCATGTTGCTGTTCAAATGAATATCAGTTAAAATAAACAAGCTACTGTTGTCACGAGGTATTAATGTGCTAGTTCAAGCATTTAAAATTATTTTTTGTTAATTTCTGTGAGTTCTGAGTTTGGAATATGGTGAAGAGTAAGCCTGCAGCTAGAAATGCAGATTACTCCTGAAATTATTTTTCAAAGCCAATGTCATTATCTTAAGCTGATTCTGTGTATTCCCCCAAAATTATCTTTCCTGCCAGCTCAAAATCACCTTGAAGATCAAACTGTTTGGCCTCAAAGAGAATTTATTTCAGCTAAGTTATTATTTCAAAAGGTAATGCAAAATCTGTGTAGAGTTTACCTTTGAAGTCTGTTCCAACAAATAGATGCTACTTAATGCATTTTTTTATATTTGATTTTTGACTCAGCACCTAAATATAATATATGCTTATATAAACATACCTACACAAATTTTTATTTTGCTATAAAATACAGCTTTTCATTTATAAATATTATCGTTATAATTTTAGACATTTCCAAAATTTTACGATTCATTTCAATTTTTCTGTCACAAGCAGTTATTCTCTTACAGGTGCTAGTAATATTTGTTGCCTATTTTCAATGAAATAAAATATAATGTAATCTTGAAACTATGGAAATACTTTTATATGCATTAGAGTATTCATATGTTTTCTATTCTTTTGCCTCTCAAGAATCAGATTTAGAATGGGCACAGTGGTTGATGCCTGTAATCTCGGCAGTTTGGGAGAATTGCTTGATCCCAGAAGCTCCAGACCGGCTGCCTGGGAAGCATAGTGAGATCCCATTCTAAAAAAATTTTTTTTTAATTAGCCAGGTGTGCTCCCAAGTTCTAGCTACTTGGGAGGCTGAAGTGGGAGGATTGCTTTAGCCTAGGAGGTCGAGGCTGCAGTGAACCTTGATCATGCTACTGCACTCCAGCCTGGGTGATGGACTGAGACCCTTTCTCAAACAAATAAGATTTAATCCCTCACTCTCCATAGCCTGGATCAGTATTAGAGTTTGAGATTTTTCAAATGGGGAATTCACATCTAAATTGAATTTGATCAGCATTCATATCAACAATCTATTCCATATATTTAAGGAAGTCATTTCAAAATGACATATGTCCTCAATATTTTTTATCAATTGGGCAGTCCTTAGGTGTTTTTCTAGCTGTATTGACAAATTGACAAATAAAAAGATATTTTTTTCTGTAATTCTGCCCAGTAGCTTTTCCTAAAAGGTAATGATAATGTTTTGACCATAGTAAGGTAATTTGGCATGATGAGGTTAGGGAGTAGACTTTGAAGAAAAGGAGATGTGGCTGAAAATCTCAGCTCCACTACTTACTAACTGTGTCATCTTGAATAAGTCACTACAGCCTTCTGAACCTCAGTTTCTGCATATGTGAAATAGGAATTGCATATGTGTGCTGGGCAGATTAAATGAGACAAGGTTTTTCGATTACCTGTAACATGTTGGGCACTAATAATGATGGTTTAATATCTAATAACATATTTCTCTCTGGAAATGTTATTATTTCTCTCCAGCTATTTATGGGTTTAATTTATTTTTTAATAATTGTGAAGTTATAGAACTTGGAAGCTAGAAGTTTCCTTAGAGATCAATTAATTAAGTGGTATTTCACATATGTGGAAACCAGGGCACTGCAAAGTTAAATGGTGTAGAGTCTTTGCCTATATGCTTTGTATAATAAATTGGAGGTGGAATCTTACTTGCTTATTTCCATCTTCAAATGGCAGGAAAAACCAGCCTTCAGAGCAGTAGTAACAGGTATGAGGTAAATCCCAATGACAGTGTTCATATCTAAAGTAAGGTAAATACAACCTATTCAAAAGGAGGGAGAAGTTATTTTACTTTACTATTAGAATGCATCTGAATGCTTTGGAGAATCCTGAAAAATATGAGCTGTATGCATATAATCAATTGTCTAATATCTGGGGAAGTAGACATTCATTGTGATCGATGACTTCTATATCTTAAGGATATTTTAGATACACTTAAGGTATTTTTATCTGAGTCTATTATACGGATTTAAATTTGATTCTGAGAAGTAAAAATTGCTCGGCCCTAATCCCATTAACTTCCATATATGGAGGGCTTCATTTCCATCTGCAGAACAAAAGGATTGGCTTAGAGGAGTATTTCCCACATTGCAGTCTTTACATTACCACAGTCCTAATTTTGATTGTATACACACCTCTAATGTTATTTGCTTTCTAAAGTGGCCTCACTTTTTGAACTTAACCTCATTCTAAATGATAATATCTAGGAAGTATTACATAGGTTGTACTGATTATATCTTTTCTCACATAAATTCATGGCCATTATAATAAAATATCTGCCTATACCACCTGAAATTATCTCATCTACCACGCTTTCTTACAGCCATAGCATGATTTCACTCTTATTCCTGCCCATTCCTAAGGTTGTGTAGAATAAAGTGAGATCCGCAATGACAAAACCCTTTCTATTCTCAAGCTTTTAGTCTCTGGAATAAAAGGAGCCACCATCCTAGATCCATGTGCTTTTTTTGGGTGAAAGGGGTGAAATTCTTGTGCTTTTCAATAGACACTAAGAGAATATAAAGGCAAAGTATAATTTCCTGTTTGAAATATTGGCTTAAATGATTGAATCACCACAACTAGGAAGGATTGTTATTTTCAGATTACTTCCAATAACATCAAATTAAGTCCAAATCCTTATCATCAATTTGAACTTACCCAAGGAAGCTTCACATAAAAACTAACAATCTTAAAAACCTTGGAAATGTTAACAGTCCCCAAAACAACATGCCTTCTATAAATAACGTATTTGAATAGGAACAAGTAGAAGAAAGTACATAAAAATTAGCCCCAATTAATGAAGAATGAATGTTTTGGAAAAGATCTTGAAAAGTAAAAGGAAAACCCAGCCCCACAGAAACGTTCCCCAGTAGACACTGATATCTTGATTGACTTTTCACAAAATTTCTTCTCTTAACTAGGAACTTAACACATTCCACCATTTTTCTCAAATCTAATAAATCAATTTTCCTTTTATGTTTTATTAAACGTATGCACAGAATTATGGCTACTTTTACTAGATATGTAGATAGATAATAGTTTAATTGTTATATATCTATATATACCTGTGTGTGTGTGTGTGTGTGTGTGTGTGTGTGTGTGTGTGTGTATCTATATATAGTTAACACAGACATAATATGCTTTGTTTGGAAGGACTTTAGTTATTCCCTCAACATCACTCAAACTGTGTTCCACAATTTCCATGCAATGTTAAATGAGTATTCTATTAAAAAAAGAATGTATGATCAAATAACATTGGTTAACATTGAATTAAACAAAATTAAACAATACATAACACTACATATATTTTGAATTTTTATGAAGAGCATCTAGTAGTACTCTCAAACTAAAATGTGCATATAAAAATGCATTTTACTGAGTCTCGAATGGCACCTGAGGTTCTGCATTTCCAACATGATGCTGATCCAGTTGGTCCAAGGCCCACATTTTGAATAGTAGGGGTGTCTTTCTTAAAACCTTATTTCAGCAGTGAATTGTGTCCCTTACATACAGTCATTTTTAAAGGTTTTTGGTTGACTGGGTGAGTAGTGAATTGGTTGGTAGTTGTTGGTTTTGAAAATAGACTTCTTTTGCTGAGAAGAAGCTCTTTAGTTAGTTAGATCCCATTTGTCAATTTCGGCTTTTGTTGCCATTGCCTTTGGCGTTTTAGTCATGAAGTCTTTGCCCATGCCTGTCTGGAATGGTATTGCCTAGGTTTTCCTCTAGGGTTTTTATGGTTTTAGAACTTACATTTAAATCTTTAATTCATCTTGAGTTAATTTTTGTATAAGATGTAAAGAAGGAGTCCAGTTTCAGTTTTCTGCATATGGCTAGCCAGTTTTCCCAACACCATTGATTAAATAGGGAATCCTTGCCCCATTGTTTGTTTTTGTCAGTTTTGTCAAAGATCAGATGATTGTAGACGTGTGGCATTATTTCTGAGGCCTCTGTTCTGTTCCATTGGTTTATATGTCTGTTTTGGTACCAGTACCATGCTGTTTTGGTTACTGTAGACTTGTAGTATAGCTTGAAGTCAGGTAGCGTGATGCCTCCAGCTTTGTTCTTTTTGCTTAGGATTGCCTTGGCTATATGGTTCTTTTTTGGTTCCATGTAAAATTTAAAGTGGTTTTTTTCTAATTCTGTGAGGAAAGTCAATGGTAGCTTGATGGAATAGCATTGAATCTATAAATTACTTTGGGCAGTATGGCCATTTTCACAATGTTGATTCTTCCTATCTATGAGCAGGGAATGTTTTTCCATTTGTTTGTGTTCTCTCTTGAGCAGTGGTTTGTAGTTCTCCTTGAAGAGGTTCTTCACATCCTTTGTAAGTTGTATTCCTAGATATTTTATTCTCTTTGTAGCAATTGTGAATGGGAATTTGCTCATGATTTGGCTCTCTATTATTGGTGTATAGGAATGTTTGTGATTTTTACACATTGATTTTGTATCCTGAGACTTTGCTGAAATTTCTTATCAGCTTAAGATTTTGGGCTGAGACGATGGGGTTTTCTAAATGTACAATCATGTTATCTGCAAACAAAGATCATTTGACTTCCTGCCTTCCTATTTGAATATGCTTTATTTCTTTCTGTTGCCTGATTGCTCTGGTGAGAACTTCCAATATTATGCTGAATAGGAGTAGTGAGAGAGGCATCCTTGTCTTGTGCTGGTTTTCAAAGGGAATGCTTCCAGCTTTTGCCTATCCAGTATGATACTGGCTGAGGGTTTGTCATAAATAGCTTTTATTATTTTGAGAGTTTAATCAATACCTAGTTTATTGAATGTTTTTAGCATGAAGGGGTGTTGAATTTTATCAAAGGCCTTTTCTGTGTCTCTTGAGAGAGTCATGTGGTTTGGTCTTTGGTTCTGTTTATGTGATGGATTACATTTATTGATTTGAGTATATTGAACGAGCCTTGCATTCCAGGGATAAAGGCAACTTAATCATGGTGGATAAGCTTTTTAATGTGCTAATGGATTCAGTTTGCTGGTATTGTATTGAGGATTTTTGCATTAATGTTCATCAGGGATATTGGCCTGAAATTTTCTTTTTTTGTTGTGTCTCTGCCAGGTTTTGGTATCAGAATGATGCTGGCCTCATAAAATGAGTTGGGGAGCAGTCCCTCTTTTTCTATTGTTTGGAATAGATACAGAAGGAATAGTACCAGCTCTTCTTTGTGCCTCTGGTAGAATTCAGCTGTGAATCCATCTGGTCCTGGGCTTTTTTTATTTTTTGGTTGGTAGACTATTAATTACTGCTTCAATTTCAGAACTTGTTATTGGTCTATTCAGGGATTTGACTTCTTCCTAGTTTAGTGTAGAGAGGGTGTATGTGTCCAGGAACTTATCCATTTCTTGTAGATTTTCTAGTTTACTTGCATAGAGGTGTTTATATTGTCCCCTGATGGTAGTTTATATTTCTGTGGGATCAGTGGTGATATCCTTTTAATCATTTTTTATTGTGTCTATTTGATTCTTTTATCTTTTCTTCTTTATTAGTCTGGCTAGTGGTCTATTTTGTTAATCTTTTCAAAAAACCAACAACTAGATTCATTGATTTTTTTAAAGGGCTTTTTGTGTCTCTATCTCCTTCAGTTCTGCCCTTAGTTATTTCTTATCTCCTGCTAGCTTTTGAATTTGTTTGCTCTTTCTTCTCTAGTTCTTTTAATTGTGATGATAGCGTGTTGATTTTAGATCTTTCTTGTTTTCTTCAGTGGGCATTTAGTGCTATAAATTTCCCTCTAAACACTGCTTTAGCTGTGTCCCAGAGATTCTGGTACATTGTGTCTTTGTTCTCATTGGTTTCAAAGAACTTACTTATTTCTGCCTTAATTTAATTATTTCCCCAGTCATCATGCAGAAGCAGGTTGTTCAGTTTCCATGTAGTTGTGCGATTTTGAGTGAGTTTCTTAATCCTCAGTTCTAATTTGATTGCACTGTGGTCTTAGAAACTGTTTGTTATGATTTCTGTTATTTTGCATTTGCTGAGGAGTATTTTACTTTCAATTATGTGGTTGGTTTTAGGATAAGTGCTATGTGGTGCTGAAAATAATGTATATTCTGTTGATTTGTGGTGGAGAATGAACAGGAAACCTACAGAATGAGAGAAAATTTTTGCAATCTGTCCATCTGACAAAGGTTAATATCCAGAATCTACAAGGAACTTAAACAAATTTACAAGAAAAAAACAAACAAAAAGTGGACAAAATATATGAATAGATACTTTTTAAAATAAGACATTTATGTGGCTAACAAACTTATATAAAAAAAGGTCATCAGCACTGGTCATTAGAGAAATGCAAATCAAAACCACAAAGAGATACTATCTAATGCCAGTTAGAATGGCAACTTTTAAAAGGTCAGGAAACAACAGATGCTGGAGAGGATCTGGAGAAGTAGAATCGCTTTTATATTGTTGGTGGGAGTGTAAATTAGTTCAACCATTGTGGAAGACAGTATGGTGATTCCTCAAGGATCTAGAACTAGAAATACCATTTGATCCAGCAATCCCATCACTGGGTATATATCCAAAAAATTATAAATCATTCTACTATAAAGACACATGCACACATATGTTTATTGCAGCATTATTCACAATAGCAAAGACTTGGAATCAACCCAAATGCCCATCAGTGATAGACTAGATAAAGAAAATGTGGCACATATACCACAAATTACTATGCAGTCATGAAAAAGAATGAGTTCATGTCATTTGCTGGGACGTGGACGAAGCCGGAAACCATCATTCTCAGGAAA